CACTCCACGTACATTTTACAGCGAACCTTTCAAAGATTTTTTCAACGGCTTACTGAAAATTAAAAGGCATTTCGCATTAATTATCTCATTTCTCGTTCCCCCTAAGAAGGGGAACATCAGTATTGTCATTCAGACAGATGAATTCACTTTTGTTGATACAAAATGCCATTGCATGGAAAAGTGAATACGTTACTTGGTTTTTCAATATCATAAAGCTTCAAAGCACATCGAACGTAAAATATTTGTAATAAAGTAAGCTCTTGGTGGGAAAAAAAAAAAACAATGATTCTGAGAAAATACATCCTAACCAGCTTAATTTGAGCGTGCAAATAGCCAGCAACAACATCGTCGACGCCACTTGTCGTTCAGCGGTGGGGCAAATTCTGGCCCCCACCTTTCCCCCCGAGCTCTCTTATAGTTCATTGTCGTGGAGGGTACCTCTCAAGACAGACCCTTTCTAAAGTGTAGGCGTGCCCTGCTGCTCACAATAATAACAGCACGTGGTACCAAGCAGATAAACGAGGCCCGCGACACAATGGACTAGGCAGTGGGAGCACGAGGTGGTTGGGTCTTCCCTGTACATCGTATGCACGTACATGTATGGCTTTACAATTGACTCGAGGGGCAGCTGATAATCTACTGCTCATCTCGACCAAATTCAGATCCAATTTGAGGGTGTAGTGTCGTAATGATCGATCCTGAGATGGAGAGGGTGTGGGTGGGAAATAATTTTAGCTCTCAAGTGAGTCTACGCTTCTCGTAGAATGTGACCCACTATTATAGTCAAGTGTCGATTTTTTACATGCGCGAATTTATATATCCCTCGTGTAATCCAGACGCGTGCGATGCAAGTAACAAAAATCGAGTTTCCTCGTTCCTCGTCGTAAAATACAAAATAGTTATTGTACCGCGGAGTACCAAGAAAATCGGGGTGGGATGAAAATACGACACGCGTGAGCCAAAGTTACTTTCTTAAAACCATAGATTCGAGAGGATCACACGTTTAGAAACCCAATTTATCACACGAAAAAAAAAAAAACAATGGTTTTTGCAAGCACACTTCGTACCTGCAATAGTATCCTACGAAAACAAGTAAAGAGTACGAACGAAGAGTCGTTTGGACGGAAAGATACGCGATAGCTTTTAAAGTTGAGTACGAATGTATGTGGGCACGGTATCGTTCGCGAAATCGCGAAAACATCCCTCGCGCCCTTAATGAAACGAGCAGCGAAACGCAACAGCGGCCCCTCCCGCGAATAGAGAGCCGCATTAATTAATGTAACTCGACGAGTAATACGAGCATAATTACTTTGCTCGAGTAGCTGCTACTGCTACCACTACTACTGTACTCTCTCCCTCCCCCCTATAGCCTTCCTTCCTTCCTTCCTTCCTTTCTTCCTTCCATTCTCGCTTGTTCTCCGCCAAAAGTTTGCTCGTTACCTATACATCGCGTGGCAGCCCGCGCTATTGCACGCACCCGAGTGCGGGTGGGGGTAGACAAGAAAACTTACACATCGATTACCACGGTGTATGATATTGTACGACGTGGCCTCGAATGTATACATGGATGAATATGAAAATAACTTTTTTTTCAGATGACTTGGACAAGATGCTTCAGTTCAAGGCAAGGAAAGAACATTTTCTTCCAGGATAAAATATGTAAGATTCGATTGGGAATTAACGTGGTGAATTTTCCAGCGTACAATTTTTTTTTTTTTTTTTTATTGTAGTCCCTCCCAGAGCTCACTTCGATCTATGGCTTATCTCGTATGCGCGCGTGTGCTTGCGTGCATGGTTAGCCCCAGGAATAGTCAGCTATCACTTTTGTACGCAGCTTTGGACTCAGCAAACAGACAAGGCGGTAACCGACCCCTTGTGTTTCTCTCTCTCTCTCTCTCTCCGAGTGAACTCATCCGCACAGACCACATCAGTCCAGTTAAGACTAAATGCATGTGTACGTGCAAAAACTTACATCTACGTGCATTGTGCTCGTAGCCTTTGTCTGGTATAACCTTAAAGGCCTACCGCAGAGAGAGAATAATATTGCATAATGCATACTGTTTATATCGCTATGATTACTATGATTACCGAGAGACTTTTTTTTTTTTTTTTCTCTCTCTTTGGGAGCCGATATCGATTTTGTTTACTTTCTTTGAGTGTTTGATTTACCTTACGTTCAATGTTCAAGGAATACTATGCTCAAGTATTGTACAGTTACAAAAAATATTTACTCTCAAATGACGTGCGTATACGCACACCTGTCGTAAAGCTCACCTCCCCGTTGGGTACAGGTACGTTTTATTGCGTCTCTTGGTAATAAGACCACGTAGATGGGGTAAGAAAGTCGATCAAGACATCGTAGAGAGGTAGGAGCTTAAAAAGCTCGAATGAAAGCGAAAAGGAAGAAAAAAAAGAAGAAGAAGAAAGAAAAAAAAAAAAGAAAAGAAAAAGAGTGGAAGCAGGAGAGTGCGATGCGAAAGTAGGAATCCAATCGCAATAGAGTTAAGTGTTCAGAAGTAAAAGCTAGGAGGGATTACCGTGGCCCGGGATTTGTTGCACTACGACTCCGGGCACGTTCCTTAATTTTTCCTCTCCCGTTCGAGCCTTCACTGCAACGCTCCTTATTTTTTATTCTCCGTCAATTTTGTTTCTCGCATTCCACCGTCTTTGCTTCATTTTGTCGTCCGACGACAAAGTTTTTCCCTTTCTTTCCTTTTTCTATTTTCTTTTTTTTTTTTTTTTTCCGTACATACCAGTCAGCAGGTACACGTCAAACAAAACTAGTCGCTCGCTCGGAGGGAGAGAGAGAGAACGAAGGCAACCTTTGCACAGCTACTTCGAGTGGGCTGGCAAATACCGTTTGCACAAGTGTATATGAAGTTCTCGATTGCAAAAGGAAGAGCTTTTACTTTGTACAACCGACGCAGGTACTCACACCAAACTCCTCTCTCTCTCTCTCTCTCCACCTTTTCTTACTTTACTTTTCGCTCGATGTTTCCCCTCTCGATCGTACGGATTTGGTTGCTCCAGCGCAAATAAATATTGTTTTGCCATCGCATTGTAAACACGAAAGAATCACTCGTATCGTTTTTATTTTTAAAGAAATGTTGGCTACAACAGTTGACTCGAAGCAACATTTTATCCAAGCCACTTGCGTGTGTTTTAAAAATAATCATGTTGCCACGCAGAGGAATTGGACGCCAAGGGTATCCATCTCACGAGAGAAACACAATGGAAACTTTATTCGCTCTTATCTCCCGTGTAATATCTCGAGTGGCTAAGCACACGCGCGACGAAATATCGTTCAAACGCATATCGTCTCTTCACGCCCGATAATCACTCCCCTACGGCACATCTGTCCCGATCTCTCGACTCTTCTCCCCGACGTTTCTTTCTCGTTTTCGTAGAAAATCCTCGGTCCTTCGCTGAACAAGAAGCGTTGCATCGTTATCGGCACGTGCCGCCCGCCCGGAGTGCAATATCGGAAAAAGTTTGTCCACCGTGAAACAGAAGAAGAAAAAATAACAATAATGCCATTCGCCGTCATTGCCGTCATCTCTTGGTAGAGGGTAAAAATGGCCAAACTCCGATCTCTGTTTGCCATCGCCCTTTTCCTCCAAAGGCCACTTTGAATGCTGACTTTTCTCTTGCCGATCCAACTGACTTGGAAATCTTGTATATGTAGGCCATAGTTGATTCATCGCCTTAATTTATCTTAAAAATCTGGTTGTTGTATCTGCTCATCATCGAGTGTTTAGTCGACCAATCACACGATTGGGAACAATCATTTTGATGATTCTTTGAACAATTTCGATTTAGCATATTGGTGGGGAGTGGACCAAAATTCCATTGCCATGAAAGTGTAATAACATTGTCTTGAATATGATCGCGTGGAGCAATGCATCAGGAAGATTTCATTTCTTCGTCGGGGCTGTACAATAAAAGTCACATTAACTTTGGATCGATGCCGACCTGCACTTGACTCCTTTATGACTTTTTCATCCTTCCCCGGGCGAATGCAACTTTCGCTCCAGCGCTAAAATTGCCGGTCTTTTAATCTTTTTTTTTTCCCCCTCCTTTGGAGGAAGCTTCCTTTCTCCTCCGGCAGCCAAGGCCAAGCAGCCAAGAGCGAGTGACGTAATATCATTTAGCATTCATGTTACGCGGCCCTTCCGAGCCCTGAAATTGCGTTAAGTCTTCTTCTTCTCCTTCCGCGAGCAGGTGTATTCCATATTAAGTGGAAAAGTTGCGACGAGTGTCGCTGCTCCTACAGCGTCCGACGAGAGAAGCAAAGGCGACTCTTAAACGCACGCACCCGCACTCAAGACAATGCTCTTCCTTATACCGGCGGCCATGCCATTATTGCCCCCCTACCCCTCCCTCTCCTTTTTTCCTCCGGCAAAAGGAATCGCGGGGCTTACTAAATTGTAACAATTTCAATTAGACGCTCCGAGTATCGGGAAATAGCCCCGGAGAGGGAGAAAAAGAGAGGAGTGCCGTTCGTTTATTCTTTTAAAAGTTGCTGGGCACGCACCACCTGCTCGAACATTGCCCGTTTCTTATTTATCGAGCGCCGAGGGCTCGTTCCCAACACTTGCTTCCAAAGCGCGAAACTTTCCTGGTACAGCCCCCGCGCCGAGTTTCAAGCACCTTATACGCAGCCCGACAATCGCCAAAATCATTCCGAGCTCTTCCGTACCCAGTTTACACCGACGTATATTTGTTTTATTATTTTCCTTTTCATAATTAAAGCAGATACAAAATAATATGTTGAAACCGACGAGATTCTTGCTTATCGTGCATCGGTCAACACGGAGCTCCGTATCGCTATTGGAGATCGAAACGGGCCCCCCTGCTATCGAGTTTTGGTGTATAAATCAGCCAACCGATAACGCCAGTTAGCTAGTTCGCGAACGCACAGCGGTAAGTAAGCACGGGACAATAATTTTTCAACTCGACAAAATCCCACGATTGTTGCTATTTCTTGTTTTGTTTAGGAAATGAAGCTCACGTTGGCATTGCTCGCGGTCTTCGCGGTTGGCGCGACCGTCCACGGTGTACCGGTCGCGGGGAAAAATGGCCTTGAGGAGCACATCATGGACTTCCTCAAGATCCTCCCTATGGACAAAATAGAAAACCTCTTCTATGATTACTTGTCCGAGGACGAGGACTTTGCCGAGAGCCTGGACTACCTCCAAAGCGAGGAGTTCAAATCGCTGCTCGTTACGTTCGAGTCCACCGCCGAGTTCAGGGGCTACCTGGACTTTTTGGAGGAATCCGGGCTCCCGGCTTACGAATACGTCAACAAGTTCAACGAGCTCCTTGGGGTGGACCCGATCGCTGCTTTGTTCCGGATGAGATCCTCCAGGATCTCTGGTGGACTCACGGGCTTCATCAACGACCTGAAGGCCCTGCTGCCCGTTGATGGGATAAAACGATTGTGCAACGAAAAGATCGCCAATGTTCCGGAATTCGCCAAGCTCATGAAGAGTCTCGAGTCCCAGGAGGCCTACGACCGTTTTAAAAAACTGTTGTCCAACCCCAATGTCGTGGAGGTGCTCGAGAAGTTTCGGGCCAAGGGAGTTGACATCAACGCCGTACTCGAGTTCGTCGGCTCGATCTTTAATTTCAAGTTTCCCACGTATCCAGTGCCTATGATCTCCAAGAGCCTCATGGAGCACTTCAATGACTTCTACGAGCGGCTGAAGAGGGAAGAAATGGTCAGTCTGTTTTATGAGTATGTGGCCAGAGACGCGGACGTCCACATGACTTTTGAGTACCTCCGGAGCCAGGAGTTCAAAGCAAAATTCGAGTCCATCGAATCAACGCCCGAATTCAAGGAGCACCTGGACTTTTTTGAAAGTTTCAACATCCCAGCCTATGAGTTCGTCAGGGAGTTCAAAAAGTTCTTAGAAATCGATTACACGATTGGCCCCCACTATTTCTACTATCCCATAACTGGAGGACTCCGTGGATTACTCAAGGACCTCAAAGAACTCGTGCCTTTCTATACGATTCGAAAAATTTACCACGAGAAGTTTGAAAGTGCTCCGGAATTCGCCGAGTTTATGAAAAAGCTCTTGTCCGAGGACTACCACCACATTGTCGCCAAGCTCCTCAGCAACAAGGACATCCGAGAGTTGATCAGCAAAGCCGAAGATAGGGGGGTCGACTTTGAAGCTGTGCGTCAATACTTTAGATCCATCATCGAAGCTGAACTTCCACCATTAGAATTGTACGCAAGTGAAGGTCTTGTGCAAGAGTTGAAAGATTTCGTAAAGCTGATACCGGTTCAGGAGTTGGAGAACCTCGTGTACAACTACTTGGCGGAGGACGAGGACTTTGCCGAGGCCCTCGACTTTGTCGTGAGTGAGGAGTTCAAAGGTAAGCTCATCGCGGTCGAGTCGACTCCCGAGTTCAAAGGTTACCTCAACTTTTTGGAAAAGTCTGGCCTGCCCGCCTATGAGTACGTCAACAAATTCAACGCTTTCATGGGCATCGAACTCATAAAGCCACTGCACCGTCTCATGACGAGCGACATCTCGGGTGGATTGCCCGGCTTTGTTCAAGATGTCAAGGCTCTTCTTCCCATCGAGGATATCAAAAACCTCCAGGATGAGAAATTGAGGACTTCCAAGGTTTTCGCGGAATTTATCCAGAATCTACAATCGGAGGAAGCTTACGGCCTTTTCACCAAGTTGTTCGCCAATCCTACGATCCAAGAAACCATTGTCAGAGTTGAATCCAAGGGGGTCGACGTTGACGCCATCCTTGAACTCGTCTCCTCGATTTTTGGATTCAAGTTCCCACCGCGTCCTTAAATTTCGTGAATTTGAATCCTTAAATTTTATTTCCTCTAGCGATTTCAAATGAATTGACATTATTTATTCCCTTGCAGAAATCATCGGAAGTACCAAAACTACCTTAGTCGGATGATATTTGTTGTGTCATCACGTGTAAATAACAATATGTAGACAAAAAGGATTTGTCGTCTTTACTTTTTTTTTTTTTTTTTTTTTTTGTTGTTGTAAAAATCCACCTGTGACTATGTATAATGTAATTGATGTTTTTGTACTTATTGTTCCACGTAAAGTGACATTTTTACATGGAATAATCAAAGATTGTTAAAATATGGTAAATCTGATAATTTGTTGAATAAAAATATACTAACCATTTGATATTTCAACTCGATCATTGTTTTTCTGTCATCTGCAAAAATGTGAAATGCAATTAAATTAACCATTCTCCGTAACAATTGCATTTCAAACAAAAATAATGTTACTAGGATCATGATGATAAAGCATCACGCTCAGCTGCATCGAACCGCGGTCCCCGCAGTTTCAATTTCCAGATGACGCGCAAAGTTGCCGAAACGTCGACTGACGGAGAAATTGCCTCGTATCTCCCGTCTATTCCCATTCAACGAGTTAATTAAGGCCTAGTCATATATACTATGTACGTAGAGATCACGCGTTGTTCGGAGGCACACGTGCCTTTCAAACCGCCACTTGGGAGTTGGAAGTCGGCATCACACAGCATATTAAGTCCGAATGGATACAGACTCCATTACTCTTTGACTTGTTGACTCGTAAGCGCCTATGTGCCGGAAAACGCCGTGTGCTCTCTTGCTTGATGCTTCTCTCTCTCTCTCTCTCTCTCTCTCTCTTGAATGTTATAGAATTAATTTCACGGGACTCCTACTCCGTGTACGTATGTGATATGTGTTGCTTCATCGCTCGTTGAGTCGCTTTGTCACTCACTGACTAGTTTTTTAATCATTTTTTAAAATTTTTTATTATACATCTTCACATCGGCAGTAATGAATCATATTGCACGTTGATTAAGATAAAAACCTTACCAAGTACTTATTAGATGGACTGAAATTACTACCATCGTAAAAATAAATAATGATCCAATCTCAAAGCTAGTTGCTTCGATAAACAATTGACTCGGAAAATAGTAACAGAAAAAATCAGCATTCTGGCCCTTGTATAGCATATTTATCGTTGAATGCGGGTTGTTTGGCGGTAACGAGGATGCAAACTGATCAATTAAAGATGACTTTCCAAGAGTCGATAACGCTGAATTAAAGACATCAATGACAAGGTGTTCTCGTCACTTTGAGTCTTTCTATGCATGAAATACTTGATCACATATCGTGTAATGAGTTTGATTTAAATATGTAAAGTAATCTTATCGAGCTGGTAACAAGAGATCACAGAAACGAGAACGTCAAACTTGATGTATCACCACCTACAGAATCGGTATATAAAGGACGAGATTGGCCGTTTGGCGCAGTTTTCTACAACGCGACAGCATCGCTGTGAGTACATTATAAGAAATTTATCGATCCGCGTCTCGTCCCGTACTTGAATTTACATCTTTTTTTCAGAAAATGAAGCGCTTTCTGGTGATACTTGCCCTGTTTGGGGCGGTCCTAGTCAACGCCGTGCCACTCGACAGTTACAGCGCACCACAAGAGTCCGAAGATCTTCGGGACGATTTGGAGGACTTTGTGAGCTTTGCGCCTCGGAATGAAATGAAATTTCTTTGGTCCGAGTATTTGAGAATTACTGCGGCTTCGAGGCCCGTTCTCGCGAGAGACGAGGAAGTCATTGACATTTTACGGCAGATTTGGGCCAAAGTGCCCATAGACCGCCTCGCGGACAAAATTGTCGACTATTTGCTCGGAGACCGAGACTTCCAAGACGTCGTCAAGTACATGTTGAGCGACGAGTTCAGAGATACCCAAGCGGACATAGAAAAGCTCCCCGAAATGAAAGCAGTCCTGCAGTATCTGGAGAGCGTGGGAATGGACGTGTACGAGTGGATCAACGCGTTCCACGAACTGATTGGACTGCCGCGTATAGAAAAATTGAGCGGAGGTGGTTATATTACCGGTGGAATAACGGGACTGATTATGGACATAAAGAGGATCTTACCTCTCGTTGAGCTGCGCAAGTTGTACGACGAAAAGCTCAAAACGTCGAGGAAATTCAGGGAATTCATCGAGCGACTGGAGACCAAAGAACTTCAGAATTTTGTGAACGCGCTTGGCAAGCACGAGGGATTCAACAAGTGGCTCAAAAAACTGCAGGTCAAAGGGGTCGATTTTGACCAGGTTTTAGAAATCCTCGGGGCAATCATTGGCATCAAATTTCCACCGCCACCGCCACCGTCGCGGCTTTTACTTTCGTAAGTTGTTATCCATCGCAGCGCTCATAAACATAAAAACACTTTTTTTCAATACCTTAACAAACATCCAAGTGCTCGTAAATAAAAGTACTTTTACTCGAAAGTAGAAAAAAAAACCATTGTTGTTTTTTTTCTCCCTTTCCTAACTTCACGCCACTCACGTAACCCCAAATTAGTAACTTTTTGAAATCAACACCTCAAAATTCTCGCAAGTTCAAAAAAAAAAAAATAAAAATAAAAAAAATAAAAAAAAAAAAAGGTAACAATGACACCCACAGAATAAACCAGACGCCAATCATCTCGACTCGCAAAATGACAATAGCAAAATACGTTCCTCGAGGATTATAAGGTACGAAATTTGTCGCTTCCCGGGTAAACTTGCACGTAGTCGAGCCACAGCGTATCGATTCTTTTTTCCAGTTACTCGAACAAATTTCAAAACCCAGGAAAGATGAGCCCACAGATATGAATCGCACGTCGATTGGCTTGAGTGTCTTTGCCGCCTGTTCCGCGTTCGCTCTAGTGTTTGCGTACCGCAAGTACGGCCCGGGCCTTATGGAAAGCTTATTCGACGACATATATTACAGCTGCAAGGACGAGGAGGAGGAGGAGGAGGACGATGGCAGTTCGCTCGAGCAAGATTTCGAGGACATATTGAAAATCCTGCCGCTGGAGAAGATACGCTTGGTCGTGGAGGACTTTGCGCAACACGACAAGCAGATCGCCGACACGATAGCCTTCGTCAACGAGCAGCAGAGGTTCATCCTCAAGGAGCTGAGCGCCATTCCCCAAGTGCAATTTTACACCTTCGTCGCGAAGGAGCTGAACCTGGACGTCGATCGCTGGCTCGATGATTTCGGGGCGTTTTGGAAGTCCATGCCGAAAACGAGGGGGGACAAATCGGCCCGCGAACGCGGTGGCCTCACCAACATGATCCGGCAAGTGATGCGGCTGATACCGAGGGACGAGCTGCACGAGCTTTTGTGCAAAAAGTCGAGGCAGTCCAAGAGCTTTCGCTCGCTGCTCGTGGCCCTGAAAATACGGCAAATGTACGAGCTCGTCGAGGCCATTCAGAAGAGCGCTGGCCTCCAGAGGCACTACCACTGGGCGATCGAAGCCGGCCTCGAGGTCATCTTCGCCGTCGAGCTGCTCGGCGAGCTCTACGTGTATCTCACGCAAAAGGTCTCTTGAAGTAAAAAAAAAAAAAAAACAATCTTGCCAAGCGATCGAGCGTATTTTTGTTCTCTTAATCGCCCGTCCATACTTGGAAGCGTACAATCATCGCCAGTTACCTAACAATCGCTTATCGGCCATCGCAAGTTGTGGGGGGGGGGGGGCTCGGTGAGATCCAAAGGTACGATGGAAATTGTTTGAGCCTAGGCTGTCGAAAACCGTAAGAGCAATTTCTCTGGGTCCATTTGTCGTAATAATGTAAGAAAAGCCAAGCTCCCGGGTTCAGTGGCGGCTAAGTAGACAATGGCAGGCGCTGCTCAGATATTGAAGACGCCCGAAAAGCTGCTGCCAGGGAGTAGGTATACACGCACCCAATGTGTACCCTGTGTCTGGGCCGGCTCTCTACATTATTAAATCCCGCTCTCCCGTCTCTTCTTTCATTCCCCCGGACAATGAGCTCCTGCACGACAACGACGGCGTTGCAGTCGGTAAATCGAGTTGCACCTCCCCGGCCGGTACACAAGACCTCAAAGACAGGGGGGGGGGAGAGTTTACGCGATAAGCCAGCGGAAGTTCGTTGACGGTGGCCGCGAAAGTGTTTTTCTCTCCCCTCTGTGTGTCATGGCGAAGCACAGGTAATTGCCCCCCTGTTTTATTTATGGGGCTTATTATTGCGCCTCGCCGCAATACAAACCACCTACGGTACGTACCATGTGGTGGATGAGATCGGAGGAGAATCGGAAGGCCATAGAAAATTGGTACATTTGGGAAATCGGTCATTCTAACGCGTTAATTGATATTAAAGTCGAGCCAGTCTACCTTATTGGCGTCGCGCCTCATTTTTCCGTGCAATTGCTACAAATCTAATCGTAAAAATGTGGCATCCGTCGACAACTTTTTTTTTTTTTTTTTCCTCGTACTTGTGATTAACATCGAGGAGCCGTCAACAGCAGAAGTATCTCTTTTGAAATCTAATCTCTCCGTTGGCATATATATATGTACTAGATGTCACCACCCATATATATATGTACGAGCCAGACCGATTTGATCGTGCAAGCGTGCACACGCGTCGGCGTTTAAGTGCCAGCCGGAGATATCTGTAAGCCGAGCGATTCGACGATAATTGTCAGGTTGAAATCGGTGGTATCTGCACCTACACGTGCGTATGTACGTACATAATATAGATGTTTTGGAGAGATAGAGAGAAAAAAAGATACTTTCCAAGGCCGTTCACGTAGCAGCGCGGTAAACGAGATTGGCACCGTCGTTAACCGATCGATTGCAGCCTCCAAGCGGCAGCAGGTACAAGTTTTCGGCTGCCATACGTACCTTTTCTATGAAATACTGCTGACGCTTTTCCTCCCACGTACACCTTCATTACAGCCCCTTTCGCTCTCCCTCCTTTTTTCCTCCCGTGTACCTACCCATCCGCGGTTGCAGCTTAATTTTTCCTTTTTCGTTCCTCTCTCGCGGACAGAGGCGACTTTTTTCCTTTTTTTCACTTACCTTTGGACTCGATGACCCAAAATGCTCCGACGCGCAACATATTTTATTCATGGACAACCATGCGACTTCTTTCGTTTCGAGTTATTACTTTTTTTTTTTTTTTTTTTTTTTTTTTTTTTTTTTCCAATCGTGTCGATAAACGTTGCGTTAGCGCATGAAAACTAAAAGCAACTCGTGCCGAGGAGCGCTGTTTCGTCAAAAATACAGGCAACAGAGACACAAGGGGGAGAGAGAATAGGGAATTGATGATTTCGCGGAGGGACGGACGGAGAGAGCTTTCGTCCCGTACCTTCGAGTTTGAATTTTCCACGCGATTTCTCCTCTTTGAGCCTATCGAGCGCTTCAGTCTCTCGATGATCACTCCCCCTCCCCACCCCTTGGATTTTTCCATTTTCAATTTGCGTACCTTCGAACCATTCATATGTATACGTATGGAATAAACGATACCGAGCTTTCATAAAGTATACAAGGAGGATGGGTGGGGGAAAAAAAAAAAAAAAACAATCGTCGATGTGTATTTATAGTGGCTGGCAATTAATTTTTCTCGCGTATGAAATTCCCAACCTCTGGAGTCGAGAGGGGGGCGATCGAATTATACTCCGTGAAGAAAAAAAAAGAAAAAAAGAGAGCGAGCCTCCGTGTTCTATCGTTATTCATTTCCAATGCGCTCGTCAAGGGGTGGACTCCTCTCGCGGCAATTTTCCAAGAAAAAGCCGGAGAACGGTCCGGACGGTTTGTCTCTCCGCGGGGAAGAAAAGGAAAAAAGAAAAAGTAAAGAGCGGAGAAAGAAGTCCGGTACCCCCTCCACGCCATTATGGGAATTCCAATAGTTATTGCGGCTGGCACGCGCAAAATTCATTCGCGGAGGGACTCTCCTGTATATACATCCTTTCGTTCCATTCTCTCTGCGTTTCTGCGGAGCGAGGGGTGTGGGAGGAAAAAAGCGCCCTCCGAATGTGTATGTTGTCGATGGCTTCATTAGAGGGAGGACGCTATTTGTCGTCCGTTCGTTCGGGACAGACGTACTTCCTCGGCTCCGCCTCCTCTTTTTCTCTCTTCTAAGGAACGCCGGGCTCTCTGTAAACGAGAACCGAGACGCGCTACGAGTTTCCTATCGATCCCCCTTTTTTTTGGACATTACCTATACCTATATCGAGAATTATTGTTCACTTTTTTTCCAAAACTTTACTAAAATACAATTGGTAATATTTATATAGAGTGATTGCGATGCACATAGGGTCACGGCGAGACTTTGTCACGGTGTGAATGAGATAACAAAATCATACTTTTTTTTTGTAACAAGATGAGGGTACAGTATGGGGCGAAAAACCAAATTTTCACGAAAATTAGGATGTATACGTAAGTATGACCGATCACGGGGATTCACATGGACATATATGTGATCATGGACATTTTCTTAGACGATTTTCCCGTGACCATCTTCTTCCAAAATCCCAGCGATGGCGGAAAACTAGAAAAAAAAAAAAAAAAAGGCTCAAACAAAAGTGCTCAGCAAAGATCCAAAAGCAGCGCCGACTAAGGAAAAGGACAGCTCGTAAGCGCACGTGCGTCCAAGGGGCCAGGGAAAATGCGACATGCCGGCGACACGCGAGCGGATAACGCCGGATAAGCCGCAATAATGCAGTGGCAACCCTCCAGCCGTACAACTGGCGTACGTATGTATGTGCGCGAGAGGAGGGGCAACGGGGGGGGCCGGAAGTCGGGTCGGGGTAATTGTAACCTTATTAGCTTCGCACGCCCGATCCCTCGATCGCCATACAAGCCGGACGGGGTTTGATTACCCGGAATCATGTAGCTCGTAATGTTTTCCGGTTAACTGTATGGTAGCATGGTTATCTTTTTTCGCGATTCCGTCGTTTTTAGATGGTGTACTCCCGAGAAATGGAGTTGAATTTCTTTTTCTTTTTTTTTTTTCTTGCTCTCCTCGAAAGATCCTGCGATTCGATGTGGAGGTGGTTTTATGTTGTTGCTGGTAAAAACAACAAGTCCGATTGAAAGATGTAATTACAAAGTTAATTGGTTTCGTTGTTGTGTTTCGAAATACAAAGTCTCCTGTTGAGCAGAAACGCGGAAACAAATCGATGAACCACCAAGGATTTCTGTCTTAAAGAAGAAACGATAGGAAATAGGTTTTGTAGACAGGAAGAGCTTGCACGTCCATTTATGATCCACAGCTCAATATTCGGTTTTATAACGTAGGATGGTAAGTTAAAACAAAAAAAATTATCTGCCTAATTATAATTATATTTAATTACGCGGACGCCTGTACGTATTCATATTTCCAGTGGGACTCTCCTTCTGTTTCCGACCATCCTTTGCCTCTGCTCTGCCAAGATGCATATTCATGCGAAGGCTCGCTTGCTTGAATATTATTTGAAACCTCTTTTTCCTGCTAACACTGGCACTGAAAAAAAAAAAAAAAAAAAAAAAATGGCTTGGGTGAAATAAGTGAAAAAGCTCTCGAGAGCTCATATCCCGTGTCTTTGTTCCGATTTGCTCGACGCCTCGCACGAATGCTTGCCTAAGTGTGCTTTCAATTTATACGTCAAAATCTACGAAAAAATTTGAGATCTGAGAATCTTTTTTTCGTCTTTATCGTTGAATTAAAACGTTTGTAGTGCGACCTTAGTTTTACTTGGAATAAAGAACTTTTTATTATTTGCAACGCAAGTCAGCTTAAAAATTTTTATTAGAGCTAAAATAATAGGTGTAACATTGAACAAAAAGCATCAACAAGATAAAGAGTCTTCCATAAGACAAAGGAGTGGGCGAAGCCTAAACCTTTGCTTCTATAGTTTTCTTTGTCTCTTGTTCATGATTTTTCAGAGATTTTGATACGTATGCCTGTTATCCCTGAGAAGCTCACCTACGATGAGTATTTTTTCCCGTACTTGGCGTGATTAAAATTCGCAGGATTTTTAAGGCACTTTGAGCCACTAGTCCAATTCATTTTTTGTTTGCAAAGTACGGTCCAACATAATTTTCCGAGAGAGTTTTCTAATGAGTTTCTATTCACAAAGATTTTTTTTTCACGCAAGCCTCGACAATATTAGACACACGTATATACATCGATAAAATCGTACAGGAAAAATGTATTAAAACCCCGTGATGTCCGGTATCATTTCGCGATTGCAAGTCAACAAAACCACCCCCTCGGCCTGAAAACTCATTACGAAAGCAAACCTCCCTCGTGGAAACTATATTCGCAAAAGGATAAAAAGCAAGAGTGGCAGTAAGTATATGGCCTCGGAGGCTTCCATCGGACTGCAATTTTCATCCGAAGAAAACGCGCGTGACCGCGCACCCGCGCGCGCACTTACGTCGCCGACCCGTTGGACTTTCTTCCGGCGCACGTCGCACTCGTCGGGGGATCAAGAGCGAGCGTCGCGAAAAATGCTCGGAAGCGCGACTAAGCGCAGAAAAAACAATGGGGAGACCCCCCCGGAGGGAGGAGGACGCCCCCATGGGTAATTAGAGCCCGGGGACGGGGC